AGTAGGCAATCCTGAGCCTTCGCTATATGGAAGAGGGGGTTGTGATAATACAAATGGCAGTGCCTCCACCTAGAATAGGGATCCTGCAATTGAGGAGACTCACCCCTTTCTAGGAATGTAACAGGTAGACAACTTAAAGTAACTATACATAGCAGTATTAATGCACCCAGCTTATATTTCTAACATGAAAACATGTCACCACACCTGTATGAGATTAATGCAAAATTTATATATAAAGCAGCCACATAAAACAGGATGCATAAGAATAACATTCAGGAATTACAATTTACGATAAATTGGGAGGTTGCAATTATACCCAGGTATATGTGCATGTAGTATACAGAATACCTCCAACCATGGGTTATAGCGCAGTCCGGTTGCAGGGGCCCCTGGAGAGGTGAGAGTCAATAAGATGCACGCTTCCACTTCAGATGCTGTGATGGCGTCCAAGTAACACGTTCTATGCGGATGATTGCACTGCTTGTCTGAAGATCAGCGATGCATCACCTAAAAGGATAAAATGCCCTATCTCTCTTTTTACTCTTAGTCCCTATCCCTAAACTGGGCTGTCACTGCAACCGGGCCTCTATCTGTCTAAGTGGCCGTCGGATGCCTAACCTACCTCTAGCCTAATCTATCCAACGCTCTCCCTATGCTAATCCTAGCTAAAAGGAGATCCAGACCAATAAGGGTGCTATGGCTTTAAGCAAAGAGGCTGCAAAGATACACTGCAATTAACAGAAAGTTCACCTGACAGTCTTATGCAGGTGAAAACACTGATCTATATATATATATATATATATATATATATATATATACAGTTGCAAGAAAAAGTATGTGAACCCCTTGGGATTACGTGGAGTTTTTGCATGAATTGGGCATAAAATGTGCTCTGAACGTCATCTAAGTCACAACAATAGAAGAACACAGTCTGCTGAACATAATACTACACAAACATTAGATGTTGCCATGGTTTAATTGCACATAACATGTAAACATTCAGTGCAGGGAGGAAAAAAGTATGTGAACCTTTGGACTTTATAACTGGTTGACCCTCCTTTGGCAGCAATAACCTCAACCAAACGTTTCCTGTAGTTGCAGATCAGACCTGCACAACGATCTGGAGTAATTTTGGACCACTCCTCTTCACAAAACTGTTTCAGTGTAGCAATATTCTTGGGATGTTCGTGGTGTGAATCGCTCTCTTAAGGTCATGCCACAGCATTTCAATCGGGTTGCGGTCAGGACTCTAACTGGGCCACTCCAGAAGGCGTATTCTGTGCTGTTGCAGCCATTGTTTTTTTTTGTTAAATTACTTGTATGCTTTGGGTCATTGTCCTGTTGCATCACCCATCCTCTGCGGAGCTTCAGTTGGCGGACAGATGGTCGTACGTTTTTCCTGCAAAATGTCTTGATAAACTCTGGAATTTATTTTCCCATCAATGACAACAATCCGTCCAGGCCCTGAGGCAGCAAAGCAGCCCCAAACCATGATGCTCCTCCCTCCGCCATGTTTTACAGTGGGGATGAGGTTTTGATGTTGGTGTGCTGTGCCTTTTTTTCTCCACACATAGTGTTGTGTGTTCTTCCCAAACAACTCAATCTTGGTTTCATCTGTCCACAGTATATTTTGCCAGTAGTGCTGTGGAACATCCAGGTGCTCTTTTGCAAAATTCAAACGTGCTGCAATATTCTTTTTGGACAGCAATTGCTTCCTCCGTGGTGTCCTCCCATGTACTCCATTCTTGTTTAACCTCCCTGGCGGTATGATTATTTCAGATTTTTGGTGCTGAAAGCGGTACCATTTTTTTGCATGGAAATATGTATTTTTTTTATTGTAGGCTGTAATTTTTAGGAAAAACTCACTGAAATCTGTCCGAACAAGAGTCTAGTAAACATCCGGGTATGATAAAATTTGAAACACAAAATCATAAATTATAATTTAATAAATAATCATAAAAAATAATATAAAAATAATAAAAAAATTAATTCAATAATATATAATCAAACCAAAAACACTGAAATGTGAAATAGAGCGCCAAGTTCGCACATTGCTGAGCTCAGTCGCAAAATCGTTTTCAGTTTCTGATGACGAATTTCCCCCACGAATCATTATCACTCAATTCTGTAAGTGGTTCTGATTTACTATCGCTGTTCTCTAGCTGATCTAAACCGCTTTTGACCTAAAGGGACACTTTTTGGACGCCATGGACATTTCTCAGTTTCCAGGCAGAAAGAACAGACAAAATGCAGGCAGGGCGCAGGACAAAGCACTAGGGACAATATGTATGTGAAATAGGTTGAAACAGCAATGTTTTACTGTGTAAAATGAAAAAAAAAAAAAAGACATTTTTTAAAATTTTTAAATTTCCCGCCGCCGGCGGCACCCGTACGTCCCGACGTCACAGGGACAGGACACAGAAGCCAGATGCCGGCATCGGCCGGAGGAGATGGCCGGGGACGCTGCAGGGGACACATCGTGGGAGCGCAGGGTAAGGTAAGTGAAGAACACATGCCGGAGCAGCGCCGCATGGTATTCCCGAGTGTAGCTCGGGGTTACCGCTTTTGGTACTGAAATGTTACCCCGAGCTACACTCGGGAATACCGCCAGGGAGGTTAATGTTTTCCTTATTGTAGCATATGCCAGAGATTTCTGTAGGTCTTTAGCTGACACTCTGGGATTCTTCTTTACCTCATGCAGCATTCTGCGCTGTGCTCTTGCAGTCATTTTTACAGGACGACTAAGTCTAGGGAGAGTAGCAACAGTGCTAAACTTTCTCCATTTGTAGACAGTCTGCCTTACCGTGGACACATGAACATCAAGGCTTTTGGAGATACTTTTGTAACCCTTTCCAGCTTCATGCAAGTCAACAATTCTTGATCGTTGGTCTTCTGAGAGCTCTTTTCTGCGAGGCATGGTTCACATCATACAGTGCTCCTTGAAACCAGTAAACCCAAAACAGGTGTGTGTTTTTTAAGGGCAGGACAGCTGTCAGCAACACATCCAATATCATCACACTGATTGGAGTCAAGGTTGGCACACTCCTGGCTCCAATATCTCTGGGAGAAGTCATTAAGCTAGAGCCTCACATACTTTTTCCTCCATGCACTGTGAATGTTTACATGTTATGTGCAATTAAACCATGGCAACATCTAATGTTTGTGTAGTATTATGTTCAGCAGACTGTGTTCTTCTATTGCTGTGATTTAGATGACGTTCAGAGCACATTTTATGCCCAATTCATGCAAAACTCCTCGTAATCCCAAGGGGTTCACATACTTTTTCTTGCAAACTGTATATATATAGACAACTATAAGGATTCTGCAGTGTGTAATAGAATAATGATAATGAAATTGGCTGTTTACCATGTGATCGGCTGTGTCCTATTACAGCCCATCACAAGTGTAAACAAACAGTGGTAACTTGCCTTTATGAGCTGCAGTACCAGGGCTGGCCAGCGGGTGCTCCCAGCAATCAGAGACTCAACCTTGCAGCCGGTCAAACACTTGGAACTGATTATACTGGTGTATTTAAGGGATGGCCAGACCTGCAGACTCTGCCTTGGTGTGTGTTTCTCCTGGGCCCTGTATCCTGTTCCTGCTCCCTGTTCATGTCTGACTCGTTGCTGACCCTGCTCTGATCCCTGGCTTTGTCTGACCATTCTCCTGCTCCTGATCCCTGGCTTGTCTGACCATTCTCCTCTGCCTGACCCTCTGTACCACGCTGCCCGCTACCTGCTGAACCTGGCTTGTGACCCCGACCATTCTCCGCTTGCTCCCCCTGTACCTACCTGCCCGATTGATATTGACCCGGCCTGCCTGATGACGCTTGCATTGTATGTACTGTTATCTGTGGGTGGTTTGGTTTGTTTGCACTGTGTTATGTTTTAGTATTGCACTGCGTTTATGTTTGTATTGTTAGTGTTAATAAATTATATTGTTTATAACATATCTGAAGTCTGCGTTTCCCTGCGTCAGTCATACACCTCTGGTCATACCCGGGAGCCCTGACATTACACCAAGGCCAATCCTGACCAGAAGTGGCTGCACAGGGAAGCCATCTTGGTTTGTTGATGGGAAGGATGGATCTTGATGAGGTTGTGTATTTATATCTGCTAGTGTTTGATGACAGAGAGTATGCTTACCAAACTCTGAAGGAGTATCCCCGGGATGAACTGCTAGAATGTATACGGCTCGCTCATGTTCTAGTAGATCAGGGCACAGAATTCTCTGAGGTGCAGCCATTGATTCAGATTTGTGCGGAGTTGGTTTCATCTAGTACCCCCGAATGCAGGGATGAATTTTTGCCGCCATTTAGTGCCGACCAGGTAGAGTCCCTGGTATGGTTATTAGAGGATGATGTGGATTGCTTCTTGGAGCATTATGCTGCATGTTCACCACAGATACTAAGAGATTGTATAAACGCAGTGCAGTCTTTGGTCAGACAGGCTTTGTGTAAGCTCAGCTTTGTTCAACCCATACTGCAGACATGGACAGATTTGTTGCACCCAGCCTCAGTCAGCCTACAAAAACCCAGTCCTGCTTCTAATCTATTTCCTCAAAGCTCTATTCCTGCATTCCCAACAGCTCCTCCTGCCCTGCTATCTACCGCATGTCAGTACCCTGTTCCCACTCGCTGCACCTATCCTGCCTTTAACCCTGTAAAGAAGCCCTCTGTAGCAACTGCTACCCTCCTCTGTTCCATCCTCCAGCTCTTCTCTGTCTCCAGCTGCTCCATTCGTTTGCAGACCTGCGTTTACTTGCAGTGCTCCAGTAGTTAAAACCAGAAAAAAGCGAAAATTCTTTCCAACCAGTACCATCCTGCCAGTATCCAAACCGGTGAGCCTGCCGTCTGAGAACCTGCCTTCCGTGGTTCAGCCTGGTGCCATCGGCACCCGCACTTCAGCCTGAGGTCTGTACCCAGCCTGATGCCTGTACCCAGCCTGATGTCTGTCTTCGGCCTGATGCCTGTCTTCGGCCTGATGCCTGTCTTTGGCCTGATGCCTGTCTTCAGCCTGATGCCTCTCTTCAGCCTGATGCCTCTCTTCAGCCTGCCTCTCTTCAGCCTGATGCCTCTACTCAGCCTGATCTACTCAGCCTGATGCTCCACTCAGCCTGATGCCTCCACTCAGCCTGATGCCTCTACCCAGCATAATGAACTGATCCAGCCTGATGATCCTATTAGGCCAGTTGACTCGATGCCCGCTGTTGATCCAGATGATCCGGCCCGCTGTCGTGCCAATTGACTCAGAGCCCGCTGTCGTACCTGGTGACTCGGTGCCCACTGCCTTGCCAGATGACGCGGTGGTGCCCGCTGGCGAGCCAAATGACCTGATGCCTGGTGACCCAGTGCCTGCTGTCATACCTGGTGACCCGATGCCCGCTGTCGAGCCAGACGATCCAATGCCTGGTGACCCGGTGCCCACTGCCTTGCCAGATGACGTAGTGCCCGCTGGCAAGCCAAATGACCTGATGCCTGGTGACCCAGTGCCCGCTGTCATACCTGGTGACCCGATGCCCGCTGTCGAGCCAGACAATCCGGTACCTGATGACCCGGTGCCCGCTGTCGTGCCAATTGACTCAGAGCCCACTGTCTTGCCAGATGACGCGGTGCCCGCTGTTGAGCCAAATTACCTGATGCCTGGTGACCCGATGCCCGCTGTCCAGCCAGACGATCCAATGTCTGACCCAGTGCCCGCGGTCATACCAGTTGACTCGGAGCCCACTGCCTTGCCAGATGACGCGGTGCCCCCTGTCGAGCCAGATGACCTGATGCCTGGTGACCCGATGCCCGCTGTCCAGCCAGACGATCCAATGTCTGACCCAGTGCCAGCGGTCATGCCAGTTGACTCGGAGCCCACTGTCGTGCCTGGTGACTCGGTGCCCGCCGCTCCGCCTGGGGGCCCGAGACCTGTCGCTCCGCCTGGGGGTCCGGCGCCCGCCGCTCCGCCTGGGGGCCCGAGACCTGTCGCTCCGCTCTGGGGGTCCGGCGCTCACCGCTCCGCCTGGGGGTCCGGCGCCCGCCACTCCGCCTATGGGCCTGAGACCTGTCGCTCCGCCTGGGGGCCTGAGACCTGTCGCTCCGCCTGGGGGCCTGAGACCTGTCGCTCCGCCTGGGGGCCTGAGACTCGTCGCTCCGCCTGGGGGGTCCGGCGCCCGCCGCTCTGCCTGGGGGCCCGAGACCTGTCGCTCCGCCTGGGGGTCCGCCGCCCGCCACTCCGCCTGGGGGTCCGGCGCCCGTCGCTCCGCCTGGGGGCCTGAGACCTGTCGCTCCGCCTGGGGGCCTGAGACCTGTCGCTCCGCCTGGGGGCCTGAGACCTGTCGCTCCGCCTGGGGGCCTGAGACCTGTCGCTCCGCCTGGGGGCCCGAGACCTGTCGCTCCGCCTGGGGGTCCGGCGCCCGCCGCTCCGCCTGGGGGCCCGAGACCTGTCGCTCCGCCTGGTGGCCCGGTGCCTGCTGCTCCGCCTGGTGGCCCAGTGCCTGCTGCTCCGCCTGGTGGCCCGCTGCCTGCTGCTTCGCCTGGTAATCCGATGTGCCTCTGCCCGGAGTCCAGCCCGATGTGCCTCTGCCCGGAGTCCAGCCCGATGTGCCTCTGCCCGGAGTCCAGCCCGATGTACCTCTGCCCGGAGTCCAGTGTACCTCTGCCCGGTGTGCCTCTGCCCGATGTGCCGCTGCTCGGAGTCCTGCCCGGTGTGCCAGTCTTTGATATCCCGCCAGTTACCAGACCCGGGCGGTGGAACATTTTGCCCAGCTAGGACTGTTTGGAGCGTCCTGAGGCCGCTCCTTGAGGGGGGGGTACTGTCAGGAATGGACTGGCCAGCAATGGTGGGACTCACCTGCCTTATGAGCTGCAGTACCAGGGCTGGCCAGCGGGTGCTCCCAGCAATCAGAGACTCAACCTTGCAGCCGGTCAAACACCTGGAACTGATTATACTGGTGTATTTAAGGGATGGCCAGACCTGCAGACTCTGCCTTGGTGTGTGTTTCTCCTGGGCCCTGTATCCTGTTCCTGCTCCCTGTTCCTGTTCCTGTCTGATTCGTTGCTGACCCTGCTCTGATCCCTGGCTTTGTCTGACCATTCTCCTGCTCCTGATCCCTGGCTTGTCTGACCATTCTCCTCTGCCTGACCCTCTGTACCACGCTGCCCGCTACCTGCTGAACCTGGCTTGTGACCCCGACCCATTCTCCGCTTGCTCCCCCTGTACCTACCTGCCCGATTGATATTGACCCGGCCTGCCTGACGACGCTTGCATTGTATGTACTGTCATCTGTGGGTGGTTGGTTTGGTTTGTTTGCACTGTGTTATGTTTTAGTATTGCACTGCGTTTATGTTTGTATTGTTAGTGTTAATAAATTATATTGTTTATAACATATCTGAAGTCTGCGTTTCCCTGCGTCAGTCACACACTCTGGTCATACCCGGGAGCCCTGACAGTACCTGTCACCTGCCCATAAGTGTACCTGTCGCCTGTCCATAAGTGTACCTGTCACAGCTGCCCATCAGTGTACCTGTCGCCTGCCCATCAGTGTACCTGTCACAGCTGCCCCATCAGTGTACCTGTCACCTGCCAATCAGTGTACCTGTCGCCTGCCCATCAGTGTACCTGTCACAGCTGCCCATCAGTGTACCTGTCGCCTGCCCATCAGTGTACCTGTCACAGCTGCCCATCCCTGTCACCTGCCAATCAGCGTACCTGTCACAGCTGCCCATCAGTGTACCTGTCGCCTGCCCATCAGTGTACCTGTCACAGCAGCCCATCAGTGTACCTGTCACAGCTGCCCATCAGTGTACCTGTCACCAGCCCATCAGCGTACCTGTCAGCACAGCCCGTCATATACCTGTCAGCACAGCTCATCAGCGTACCTGTCGTACAGCCCATCACACACTTGTCAGCACAGCCCATCTGTGTACCTGTCATGCAGCCTATCAGTGTACCTGTCAGTATAGCCCGTCAGCATACTTGTCAGCACAGCCCATCACATACCTGCTAGCACAGCCCATCAGTGTACCTGTTGTGCAGCCTATCACCACAGCCCATCAGTGTACCTTTTGTGCAGCCTGCCTGCACAGCCCATCAGCGTACCTGTGTGCACAGCCCATCAGTGTACCTGTCAGCACATCCATCAGGGAAGGCTATCAGTGTACCTTTCAGCGCATACACCAGTGCAGCCTATCAGTGTACTTGTGAGCGCATACACCAGTGCAGCCTATCAGTGTACCTGTCATCAGTGCAGCCTAATCAGAGCACCCATAACAGAGCCGTCATCACTGCTGCCCATCAGCAGTGTGCCCTTTATACAGCCAAGATGTCAAAAAAATATTTTACTAGTGAGGAAGCTTTCAAAATCCTCAGCATGACTGACAAGAGCAGCGGGGAGCTCTCAACGTCCGATTCCAATTCGGAATACGAGCCTGTAGAAAACAGTGGATCGGTGACCGAATTGGAAGAGGAAGCAGTCCCTCCTAAAAGAGTAAGACGCTCTGAAGAGCAGGCAACCACGAGCAACGCCAACGTACCAGTGCCATTACACCCAAAAGGTCAATCGGCAAACGCCAATGGAGCTAGACCCCAGGATGAAAGGCCCAGTACCAGCACTGGAATATCACACCAGACTTCAAAGAGTCAGGGCCCAAACATATCTCCCAGATGCTTTGGCAAACCCTTTGTGGCTGCCTTCCAGCTCAGGATAAGGTACAATCCCCCCTTCGCAGACAACCCCAATTCATGCTATGCCCGTCCATTTGAGTGGAGATGGCTAACAGTAGAGGAGTTTAAATTGTTTTTGGGCCTTATGATCAACATGGGGCTTACAAAAAAAAACTAATTATATTAATATTGGTCCCCCCACCCCATCCATCACATTCCCATCTTTTCAGCTGTAATGTCCAGGTCATGCTATGACATGATAATGTTCTTCCTGCATTTCAGTGATAATTCTCAGTGCCCTCCCTGAGATCAGCCTGGCTATGACAAACTCTATAAAATTCATCCGCTAATTAATTTGTTTTCTACAATATTTTCTGAACTTTATGTCTCTGACCAAAATATCTGTGTGGACGAATCTCTTGTCCACTTTACTGGCCGGCTGGGAATAAGGCAATACATTCCCAGTAAAAGGCCAGGTATGGACTGAAGCTCAACAAGCTCTGTGAAAGTGCCACAGGATATGTGCATGCCTTCCGCGTGTATGAAGATAAAGACTCCCAGCTCAAGCCCCCTGGGTGCCCAACATACATTGGCACAAGTGGAAAAATTATCTGGGACCTGGCCTTTCCACTTTTCCAAAAGGGGTATCACATCTACCTAGACAATTATTACACAAGTCTTCCCCTTTTATGCCACCTGTACCTTGACAAAAGGTACACACAGGGGTCTCGCATATGTGCGGGACTTCAGAGTAGAGAAAAAAGTTTTTGGTTTTCTCCGGTTTTGTAATTCCCATAACAGGGTCAGTTTGTCCGGAGGCTTCCAAGAGATTGGGTGGGACGAAGCCTCCACCCCTGTGCCCCGATTCTACCTGACCAAGGACCTAAGCCTGATGTTCCTGCCAGCTTCCTGGACCAATACTTTGGCTGTGCTGACCATATCTCTGGCTGCTGCCTGTACTGACCCAGGACTTTTTATAGACCATGTTTCTGCCTGCTGCCTGGATCTCAGCCTGCTGCCTGTTCTGAACCTGGCTTGTTTATCCACCATATTCCTGCCTGCTGCCTGGGCGATTCCTGTGACTGTTGCCTGCTTCCTGGTCCAATGCTCTGCTAAAACCACAGGCAATCTTTTGCTTATCCTTTCTTCAGCTAGGCTGTGAAAAAGTCTCATATGTGGTATTGTCATGTTCAGGAGGAGTAGCAAAATGTATTTTTGAGTATAGAAGAAATATCCTAGAAATTTACAACTTTTTGTAAACAAAATTAATACTGGTGATATCAAATATAAGTGGATGAAGCGCTATGATTGGCGCAATAAAAAGAAAATAAGTGCAACTGTGAAAGTCTTAAAGCAAAGAGTGTTCATAAGGTGGTGAAGGCATGACACAATCAGGTCAGCATACAGTGTTGCAAACGGGTCCTGTTGCACAGATGGTGTCAAATTATTGAATGTGCTTTTATCCATGTGGAAGATTAGTAAAAATGTGCACTCACCAGATGCGCATAATTAAAACGCAATATGTTGAACAGTATATTAAGACCAAGAATCAGCAGGAAGCCCCCTTTAAATGGACCAGACAGGCAGCATGGGAAAGGATCCCTCCTCTGGAAATGAGACTCCTCTGCAACCGCAATTCCACTGGGGTCCTGTCAGGTGTACGATGTGATCCCCACTCTTATAGATGACCAACATTGACTGCTTCCATCTACACCAACCAACAACACTACAACACTAGAGGAAGTGTAGTGTTGTTGGATGGTGTAGATTGAAGCAGTCAGTGTTGGTCATCTATAAGTGTGGGGATCACATCCTACACCTGACTTGCACATGCTATGCATCTTCCACCTGTCCCCACATGACAGTCTCCAGAAACGTGCCATTCTGGCACTATAGACTGTGCTGTGGAAAGCAGGGGGAGCATCATGTATACTCCAGTACCTGGAAGTACAGTTTTTTGACTAGTTTCAGTGTAAGATTGCGCCTGGGAGGGATAATGCAGAAGCGAAACATTAACTCTATTAGGTACCCGCTGTTAAGCAAACCTGTATCT